AAAAAAAAAAAAAAAAATAGAATGAAGTAGAAAGGAAAGTGCTTGGAACAGTGCCTGGAACATTGTAAATTAATAAGTACTCAATAACTAGTCATTATCATTAGTGCCATGATTATTATTATTAAATGGGGAAGATGTGGGCCAGGCGCAATGGCTCACGCCTGTAATCCCAGCACTTTGGGAGGCCGAAGCAGGCGGATCACCTGAGGCCAGGAGTTCAAGACCAGCCTTGACCAACATGGAGAAACCCCATGTTGGCTTCTCATGTAAAATGTCAAATTTTAACCCCATGTCAAAATGCAAAATTACCCGGGCATTGTGACGCACGCCTGTAATCCCAGCTACTCAGGAGGCTGAGGCAGGAGAATGGCTTGAACCGGAGGGGGCGGAGGTTGCAGTGAGCTGAGATCACACCACTGCACTCCAGCCTGGGTGATGAGAGCAAAACTTCGTCTCAAACAAACAACAAATAAATAAATTGGGAGGAGGCACCCAGCAGACATCCTTTCGAGGGAGTGCCACACCCGTGGTTCTCACAGACCCAGCTGCCCCTTCAGTTCAGGGGTGGTGGACACCCTTCCTCACTGCCTGGTCACCTGAGCTGGCTGGCTTTGGGGCATCCTCTCCTCATCCCTCAGGAGGGCGGGGGAGAGCAGGCCCTATGGCAGCAAGCTTCTCTGTCTCTGGGCCTGGCCGTCCCATGTTCTGGCCTCGGCCCCACAGGCCTGGCCGTGTATCTGCCACCCACCGCCTTCCCTCCCTGGCGTCATGAACTGGTGTCTGAGGCCCTCGGGGGTGCAGTCCTGGCATCTGGAAGCGGTTTATTTTCAGCTGATGTCTCTGGGTATTTGATTATTCATTGCCGAGAGAAGGGAATTAGCATCTCTGCTGTTTGTTTTATGAGATCACCCCGGTGCCAGGCTGCCGTTCCCAAGAAACCTGCCCTTCCCAGCTAATGAACCTGGTGGGCCGGCCCTCAGGCCCTACAGCCTGGGGTGACCATGGCCTGGCTCACGGCGGGTGGTGTGCCAACCTGCACAGCCAGGTGTTCTCCTTCTTGTGGGAAAGGGGGCAAGAGGGGCCCTTTCCTGGAAGAACGTCGGCCATGTGTCCTTTGGCTTAGGAAGCAAACTACGTCTCCTATAGGGTGGGCACTGATGGGCTGGGCCTCACTGCTCCCTGGAAAAGGAAATAAACGCCATCCCTTCCTACCCCGCCCCACTTTCTAAAGTCCACTCCCTGTGCCGCAGAGAGCCGAACACCTCTGGCCTTGGTTCACCCCGGGCGCCACCGTTTCCTCTCCACTCTCTGGTTTCTCCAGATGCCCATTCCTCTGCCCACCAGCTCCCTCGAAGGGCTCCCCTGGGAGGCGCCAGGCTCAGCCGATGCTGCAGCCAGCCTGCCCCCACCCCATCCCCACTGTCTGCAGGTTCTTGGGGAGCACGAGGATCCTGCCGAAAGCGGGGCGATCCAGGGTGGCGTTCAGCAGCAGCCACTCCCCCCCACAGGCCCTGGAGGCAGCAGCTGTATCTCCCTTGCTGCTGTACTGAAAAAGCTCGAAACCAAAACCCCAGAGAATAACACAGCAAAACCTTGCAATCAAGACAGTAAAGCATCACGCATAGAGGTGGACTCTCCCCTGCCCCTGCTTGAAGCAGCTACGGGCGTGAATTTGGTGGATCACTTCTAGACCGCAGTGTGTGCGTTTACTGCGTATCCATATCTACTTTGGGCTTGGCATGTACTTTAAAAAAAAAAAAGCTTGCGGTTCGTGTGTAAAAGTGGATTTGCTGAGCAGTAGCTAGGCTGTGCCTATCCTCAGCTTTATTAGTTCAACTGTTTCAGTGTTAGTAGTTACTAACAAATTGCTCTCCAAATAATTGTACTAATTTCCACTCCCCCGAGTGGTCTGTAAGGGTTTAAATTTCCCCATATGCTTGCCAGCCCTTGCTGTCAATTAGACTTTTAAATTTTTACCCTTCTGAGGAGTACAAAATATCTCACTCTGGCTTTAATTTGAATTTCTACCCTTTGCTCCCGTAAGAGGAAGTGCATATACACATCCCAGAGAAGGCTGTCTGTAAATATTTGGGGAATTGACTTAGTGAGCCTCAGTTTCCCCTTTTGCAGAAGGGGCGATGGCATGTGCTGTGGCTGTCAGAGGAGGTGAGGCCGTCCGTGGCTGTGAATCAGGAAAAGCTTGCGTTTGATTCTCAGTGGTGGGCAAATGCGTAGCGAGGCAGGGGCTTTGGCTCCTTGGGGATAAAGGAGGTGGAAGAGGCGAGGACGGGGACCCCGAGGCCAAGGGAGGAAAGACAGCACCTTTATTTGTTGTTTTGTTTTGTTTTTGAGACAGAGTCTCACTCTGTCGTTCAGGCTGGAATGCTGTGGTGAGATCTCAGCTCACTGCAACCTCCGCCTCCCAAGTTCAAGTGATTTTCCCGCCTCAGCCTCCTGAGTAGCTGGGACCACAGGCACGCCACCAACCACACCTGGCTAATTTTTGCATTTTTAGTAGAGATGGGAGTTTCACCATGTTGGCCAGGCTGGTCTCGAACTCCTGACCTCAGGTGATCCAACAGCCTCAGCCTCCCAAAGTGCTGGGATTACAGGCGTGAGCCACCATGCCCGGCCCAGAAGGTGCCTTTCAATGCTGCGCCCCACACTCTACGTGGGGAGGGAGACCCGAGCGGGCCACATGTGCCAGCTCCCCCCAGCACACACACACCCGCCTCTCCCTGCTCTGGCTAATTCCAGGATGTGAAGGAAGTATGAGACATTAAGGGATTTCAGACCCTAGGAGGCCTTGATGATGCTGAGGAAAGCGAGACGCTGTGATGAGTTGAATTTCTAGCAGGCCGACAAAGGCCCTATCCTGGTCTCCCCAACCCCAGACCTCATTGTTAGCCTTATTGGCTAAGCTAGTTTCCATGGAAACTGTCAAGTTCAAAGGGATGGTGTAACATGTCCATCCGTGCCTCTCCTCTGGTTCCCAGCTCATCCCGTGGAGCTGAGTCAGAGGTTTTCAGCACCCGGGTGCTCCAGGTGCTCTGCGAAACTTTCATCCATTGACTGATCCGCTCCCCTCCCGCTCCCCTCCTCTCCTCTGCTCCCCGACTCCTCCCTGCAGGCCAGCCAGCTTGGTGTGTACAAAGCGTTTGTGGATAACTACAAAGTCGCTCTGGAGACAGCTGAGAAGTGCAGCCAGTCCAACAACCAGTTCCAGAAGATCTCAGAGGTAGGCAGCTCCCGGCACAGCCACCCTGGCGGACGAAAGCGGGCGCTGGGGGAGCTCAGAGCCTTCCGGGCCTCGGGTCTCCCCTCCCTCGCTTGCCAGCTGGTGAGGTGGTTACTCCAATGCGTAACACTTAGCCTCATATTTGCTTTCTTGCACCTGACGTTTTCCCTCTTAATATAAAACTACTTTATTTTTTATTATTCTCTTTCAGATTAGAGAGAGGAACAAGGGAGGCAAAAAAAAAAAAAAGTAAGGCAGTTTTTTCCCACGCTCGGGTGACCCTGAGCAAGTGACTTCCCTCCTCTCAGCCTTCATTTCCTGTCCCATAGAATGAGGGGTTCACACTCGGCCAGCTCATCCTTTTTTTGAGATGGAGTTTCACTCTGTCACCAGGCTTCGCCTCCTGGGTTCAAGCAATTCTCCTGCCTCAGCCTCCTGAGTAGCTGGGACTACAGGCGCCCACCACCACACCCGGCTAATTTTTGTTTGTTTAGTAGCTGCGGGGTTTCGCCATGTTGTCCAGGCTGGTCTCAAACTCAGGCGATGTGCCCGCCTCAGCCTCCCATGGTGCTGGGATTACAGGTGTGAGCCGCTGAGCCCGGCTTGGCCAGCTAGTCCTAACCTTGCTGATAGGCATCAGCGGGCACTGTGATTTAAAACACAGATTTCCAGGCACCTTCCCTGGAGCTTCTGATTCGGGAACTTTGGGTGGGGCCCGAGATTCTCTATTTGAACAAGCTTCTGGGTGATTTTTATGAACGGGAAGACGGGGAAATTTGGACTCGGTCGTCTTTGAAGATCCTTGCCCACTCTAAGTCTGCAGTCCCATAAACAGAGAGGGCAGGAGCCACTTTCGTGGAGAAGGAGCCTCCTTGGAAGCCCGGCTGGGAACAGGTCTGTGTCTGCCTCTGTGGCTGCGCCTCCCTCCCGTCCTCCTCTGCAGGGCAGACGTGCGGCCCTATCTGCCACTCACATTTCTACCCGGGAGGACGCATGGAGGGGACAGCTGCTCCAGGTCCTTCAGGACAGAGCCCAGCTCATCCCTTTGTCCAAAAAGACCATGGTGACACCCTACAGCACCGGCCTTGTGGGAACAGCACCCAGCTGCCAGTTCAGGGCAAGAGAACCTCTACCCTAGAACGGGGGAGAGGCTTCTGCAGTTCTGGGGGTCATGCCCTAAAGGCCCCCCTTGGCCCTTTGTGTTCCCTGTCTCAGCTCTAATGCTGGAAGAGCTGGGGAGATACAGGGTGGTTTTCTGGAAACTTCAGGAGTGCAGGGTGATGCCCAGGTTTAGAATCCACCGAGAGGCAGCTGGGGCGCCAGGCAGACGGAGACGGGTGGGTCAGCTTGGTGACTGTTAGGGCACAGCTTGGAGGACACGGATTTGCATCTGTGGCCATAGTGGCCTTGCTGGCACTTCTCCTCTGGAATTAAATGTATCTATTGAGGCCAGCGCGGTGGCTCATGCCTGTCATCCCAGCACTTTGGGAGGCCGAGGCAGGTGGGTCACCTGAGATCAGGAGTTTGAGAGCAGCCTGACCCCATCTCTACTAAAATACAAGAATTAGCCAGGTGTGGTGATGGGTACCTGTAATCCCAGCTACTCAGGAGGCTGAGGCAGGAGAATCGCTTGAACCGGGAGGCGGAGGTTGCGGTGAGCCGAGATCGCGCCATTGCACTCCAGCCTGGGTAGCAAGAGTGAAACTCCGTCTCAAAAAAAAAAAAAAAAAAAAAAAAAAAGATGTCTGTTGAGTCCCTTGCAGGAACAGGGAACCACAGGCCCTCCCCACACTGAGGACAGAGCCCACCCCTCTCACCCTGTGTGCAGAGAGAGGAGCGCTGACCAGTTTCTTCTCCCAGACCCATGGAACAGAGGAGTCACCCTCTGCCTGGGAGGACGAAGTGCGGGGTGGGGAAGTCCCTCTACACGATGTCAAGAGGCTGGAGAGGCTGGGCGTGGTGGCTCACACCTATAATCCCAGCACTGTGGGAGGCCGAGGCCGGAGGATGGCCTGAGCCCAGGGGTTCAAGACCGGCCTGGGCAATGTGGCAAGACCCCGTCTCTATTAAAAATCCAAATAAAAGAGGCTGGAGAAACGGTGCTTCCCCTCTCGGTTCCCAGCCCAAGCCGGGAACTACCCGACTGCCCTGGTCCATGTTCAGAGCGGCCCAGCCAAGGCCGCCCTAGAGCCCAGGGTCCCATACGGTCCAGAGTGTAGGCTCGGCTCTCAGCCTGGGCTGGCTGCCTGTTGTCTGTGCATGGACAGCAGCCCCCGCCCCAGCTGTGAGCCCCTCTCAAAGGCTGCCCACCCCGGAGGACAGAGCCGCCAGTGGCTCTCCGCCAGGTGGCTCCTCCTCCTGAGTCACTTGATGACGTGCTTGCTTCCTGCTGGCGCTGCCACCTAATTATGGCAATTAGGCTCTTCGCTGCAGCAGGAGTGATTTCATAGCCCAGGCTTTGCTGGAGGGGGCTTGAAGAAAAATTCCCTGAATCTGGGAATCCAGGCACCAGCCAGAGACACAGCCTAGAGAAGCTGAGTAACCCCACCCTCCCTGTCCCCCAAAATATACACATACCCAAGCTCAGTCCCTGGGAGTTTTCCCTGTCTAGAAACAGCTTGAGACAGACGCAGGACGCTCCTGCTTTCTGGGGGCTTCCTTCCCTCCAGGCTGAGCAGGTGACATCACCTGGGCTCCTGACCTTGGCCTCGCCTTGCCCCCCACCTTCCCTCCCACACCCCTCTTTGACGCTCTGCTTGCTTTGTCTGCCAAGTGGGGATCGCATTACAGCTCAAATTGCAGGCGACACTGACACCGTCCTGTGAGCAGAAGCTGAGGCTGGAACCTCTAAAGGAGGGTGACAGAGGCCTGGAGCAGACCAGTCCTCCCCGCGTCTGTTTCCAGGACTCACTCACTGCCTGTTGCCGGGCTCAGGGTCCAGGAGGACAGCCTGTTCCTCCCCCTCACCCTCCTGGAGGACACCCAGCACAGGCCGTGGTGGGTGGGGAGTGTCGGGGTGCCAGGGGCTGAGGAAGTGCCCTCTGATGGGGGTAGGATGCGGCTGGGCTGTTCTGGGAGCTCCACGTCTCTGCCCTAGGCCCGCCGTTTTGCTGCCTGCCCTGTGCAGGTGTGCAGGACCCCCTCCCTCTCTCACGGGCTGCTCACGCTCTGAAGATCGGCTGGCGCTTGTCAGCTCTACCCCTGTCTTTCAATGTGTAGGATTCCTGAGTAGGGGCTCCTGGGAGGGTTTCCTGTAACCTCAGGGCTCCCTGCCAGCCCCTCTCCAATCTGGGACCTGGAGTCCCTTCCTTCTTGCCCATGCCCCAGCTGCTGGACTCTACAAGGCTCCAGGAGCTCACAGCTGTGGGTGCAGGGGATGGGGGTGTCAAGGCAGAGGCAGTCCATGGCCACAGGCTCCTTTGTCTCTATTCTCATTTTTTTTTTTTTTCTTGAGATGGCATCTCGATCTGTCTCCCAGGCAGGAGTGCAGTGGCATGATCTCAGCTCACCGCAGCCTCCGCCTCCCGGGTTCAAGCAGTTCCTCTGCCTCAGCCTCCCGAGTAGCTGGGATTATAGGCGTGCGCCACCACACTCAGCTAATTTTTGTATTTTTAGTAGAGATGGGGTTTCACCATGTTGGCCAGGCTGGTCTCGAACTCCTGACCTCAGGTGATCCACTCGCCTCAGCCTCCCAAAGTGCTGGGATGACAGGCGTGAGCCACACACCGGCCTCCATTCTCACACTTGCACCCTGAGTTTCAGAGCTCCCCTCCCTGCTGGGCTCACGATGGGGGCTGGGGGTGGTGTTGGCAGACCAGGTAGTGATTCCTCTCCTTCCTTTGGCAGGAGCTCAAGGTGAAAGGTCCCAAGGACTCGAAGGACAGCCACACCTCGGTCACCATGGAAGGTACCTCGGGGAGGGGCCGGGTTACTGTCACCTTTCTTTGTCTGGCCATGTGGGCGCCAGGCTGCGTGAACGCGGCGCCCTTCCCCCTCACGCGCGCCTGAGTGTGAGTGTGAGCGTGCATGAGCGTGTGTGCGCGCACGGGAGGACTCCAGCCTCGTGCCCGGGCAGCCAGCCAGCTACAAACGTGCTCCTCTTTAGGATGCCAGCAGGCTGCTGGGTCCCTCCCTCCCTGCCCCTCCTCCCCTCCCCCTCCCTCCTCTCCTCGCCACGAGCCTCCCGCCCCTCCCCCTAGCTGGAGGAGCACTCCAAAGCGGCTGCTGGATGCTGGGGACGGTGCGGCCGCTTCAGCAAGGTGGCTGAGTGGCCGGTGGGGCTGCTGGTGGGCACCGGGGTCCTGGAGCGATGGCTGCGCGCTCCCGCTGTGCGGACAGAGGCTGCCATGGAGATTCTCCTCATTATTCGCTTCTGCTGTAACTGCACCTATGGTAACCCAGGTGCCCACTGTGGGAGGTGGCGGACCCTCCCACCTCTGCAACTGGCTGGAGTGGGCTTGAATGTGCCGGCAAGGCCTGGGGGCCGCAGGGAGGGAGGGTGGGCAGGCGGCTGGCCCCGAATATCCCTTCGTTTCGGCCAGCATCCCGCCTAGAGTTGAAACCTGGGGGATGCTCAGGGCAGGGCTGCTTGGAGATGAAGGACCAGGCTGGCGGGTCCAGGTGCTCAGGATGGGTGGGGAGGGGGTGGCTAGTGTGGGAGAACTTCCTGCAAGGGCTGTTCGGGAGGGACGGTGATGAGCTGTGCCTGCAGACACAGCAGTCCTGAGGCCAGGGAGAGGGTCTGTGGGGGCCAGGCACCGCGTGGGGATGGGTGACGAGGGGTGGCGATGGTCTGGACGGGTGACGATGGTGCCAGCCGAGGGGACCAGTGCGAGCTGGAGGGAGAAGTTGGGAGTTTCTTTGTTTCTGGAGCGAGGAGCGGAGGCTGGGCGGCGGGTATTGTGCTCCCAGGCACATGCTGCGGCGGGGGGTGGGGGGCGGGGGGGACACGGAGCGGCTGTGGAAAAGGAAGGAGCCCAAAGGCTTGTTTCCAGCCTTGAGAGACTCTCGAGCTGAGGTCCGGGCACAGGACTGTGGAAGGCAGGTCGGCAGGACCAGCGGGAGGGGGTGTGGCAGGAGGCTTTGTGAAGGTCACATACACACCACCAGTCAGCGGGACGGCCCGGGCCATCCTCCTGGTAGCCCCCGCCACTGGCAGGGCACGGGGGCATCCTGGACAGGTGCATGCCATCAGCAGGGCTGGTGGTCATAGGACGGGGAAGCCACCTCCGGCAGGGAGGTGTCCAGGAGACTGTGGACTCTGGCCCAAGAGGCACGGTGTGCCAGGGGTGCCCATCTGCCAGTGGCAGGGAGAGGGTGGGCTCGGGTGGCTCCCAGGCCCGCTGCTCTGGGCCCGAGTCTGTGGGAGCGGCAGGCGGCTGGTTCTAGGACCTTCCACTTCCTTCCCACCAGGTGCTTGGGCTCTGCGCCCTCCTCAGTCACCCTGCTTTCCTGTCTCCCTGGTAACCCGGAGCTCCTTAGAGCTGAAGGGAGGGGGTGGCAGCTTGCTGGAGGAGGGGCCGTCTGTCTCCTGGGCTCTTTCCCAGGCGGCTGTGCTGGACGGGCTGCATGGCGCCATCACCCCCTGACCCTCTCAGGACCCTCGTGATGGAAGCAACCTCCGAGGTGTCCTCTCTTCTGCAACGCAGCAGGACGGCCCCAGGAACCCTGTCCTCACTTGAAATTGGCCTGGTCAGAGGTGAAATGGTCTTTTTGGTCTGGCCTAGGAGTTGGTCAGGTCTCAACTCTGCCTTCCTGAAAAGGAAATGTGCCCTGCTCGGCTTCCTCTCCCTTCCCCGAAAGGAAGCTTCGACTTGGTGAACCAGACCCAGACCTGGAGTTCATGCTGCTCTGGCCTCTGTGATTCTGTCTTTGAAGCCAGCTTCACGGTGGTAATGAGGACCGAAAGGGCCAGCTTGTGAGGACAGGGCTCACCCCATCCTGGTCATTCTTTCCAAGAACCCTCCTGTGGCTCATTGAGATTTTCCAGGTGCCGCCCTCCCCTGAGGAGGGGGCAGTCAACAGGAGGAGCGTGGGTGGGTCTAAATTCAAAGCCCAGCTTCCTCCACCTGTAGCTCGGGTCGGTGAGCATGCCGCAGAACACCCCTGGCCTCAGCTGCCTTGTCTGTAAAATGGGGCCAGTGAGAATTGCTTCCCTTTTTAATCACAGGAAATAATGCAGGCAAAGCTGTCCCCTCAGAACCCTTGGGCACAGAGCGAGTACCCAGCCAACCACAGAGAGACCAGCTTGCTGCCCAAGTCAGGGAGGAGTGGGGAGAGTGGGTGAGGTGGGCAGGAAGCAGGCCAGTCTGCCGGAGCTTGGGGACGTGGGAAGGCCAGAGTGAGCACCTCGTCCTGCCTTCTCAGGGGACCCCGGTATGGGGAGCACGAACGTCAGGGCCGCCCTTGTTCCCCATTCCCTCCCGATCTGACGTGGTCCCGGTGCCCTTTCCCTGAGCACCTGTTCCCCGGCCGCCCTCCCGGGCTCATTCTGCAGCCCTGCTCAGGTGGACTCTGACCGTCTGAAACCCAACCTGTCCTGTGTGCAGGCCTCTGAGCTTCGTCAGAAACCTCTTCCTCTTGGGACCCGCCAGAGGGCTGCAGGAGCCATAATGTGGTGTCAGCTTTCCCTGGGGCCGCAGCTCCGGGCCCCAGCCCAGCAGGTGTCTGCTGAGTTCACGCTTTCTTGGGGTCTCTGGGACTCTCGAGTGTGCATTTTCGCCCTGAAGATGGGCTGAGCCACAGGTGGGTGCCTTAAGCAGAAATGGATCCCACCTGAGCTGGGAACTGGGCTGTACCTTCAGTGCCCCAGGACAGCCCAAGACTCGTCTTGTTCATTCAAGCTTCCGTGGCGCCTGGAGCGTCTCTGGAAATTGCTGGATACGCAAGGGCTACAGGTTTGTCACATGAAGTGTATTTATGTAACCAGGGGTTGGCCGGGGATGGTGGCTCCTGCCGGTAATCCCAGCATTTGGCAGACCGAGGCAGGAGGATTGCTTGAGGCCAGGAGTTCGAAACCAGCCCGAGCAACATAGTGAGACCTTGTTTCTATGTTTATTTATTTATTTATTTATTTTGAGACAGAATCTCGCCCTGTCGCCCAGGCTAGAGTGCAGTGGCGCGATCTCAGCTCACTGCAACCTCTGCCTCCCGGATTTAAGAGATTCCCCTGCCTCAGCCTCCCGGTAGCTGGCATTACAGGCACCCACCACCACACTTGGCTAGTTTTTGTATTTTTTATAGAGATGGGGTTTCACCTTGTTGGCCAGGCTGGTCTCGAACTCCTGACCTCAAGTGATCCACCCCCGCCTTTGGCCTCCCAAAGTGCTGGGGTGACAGGCAGAAGCCACCACACCTGGCCCCTCGTCTCTATTTAAAAAAAAATTAAATACGTACATAAACCATAAAGCAGTGGTTTTCAGTCATTATCATACATTTGAATCAGTAAAGAAGCTTTTTAAAAATGCTGTATGCCCGTGCAGTCTTGCGGAGATGTGGGTTTAGTTGGCAGGCTGGGGACAGGCGTCTGGGTCTTTTCACAGCCACACCCCACCCCAGTGATGTTGACAGGCAGCGGAGCTAGGCCTGCAGATAAGGCTGGGGGCCCTGCTGGGGCTGCATCTTCCTGGCAGCCCGCATACTGCTCCTGAAGTGTCTGCGTGGCTGCACAGCGCGGGGAATTCCAATCTGCGGCTTTGAAGAGCCCTTGGGTTTGGGGCCCAGCTTGGGCGTGGGTGCTGGCGCTGGGATCTGTCACAGCGGGTCCTATGGGACACCCAGTCGGGGAATCCTTCTTCCCAGGGACCATCCTGCCTCTCACTGCTCTTGTGGCTGGGGGCCAAGGTCGTGACCCCAGGGAGAGAGCGCCCAGGTGCGGGATGGAAAGCTGAGCCTCCATGTTGGGAGAGGGGCGCAGCTGCGAGCAGGAAGGGCATTGGGAAGTGTCGGTCTGGCAGCTGCCACCTCCGCCTATCCCTGCTGCCTCCCGGCCCTCCGCACTGGGCCACTTGGCATGTGAGTTGTGGAGGCTGCAGCTCGCGGGGGCTGGCTGGCCTCACCTGCGTTCCCCCAGCCTCTGTGCGGCCATCCTGTGCGAGACCTGGCCTGAGTTGCTTCAGGAAACCTTCGCCCCTCAGGCTGCCATGTGTTTGAGAGCAGAGACTTTTTTTTTTTTTGAGACAGAGTTTCGCTCTTTTCACTTAGGCTGGAGTGCAGTGGTGCAATCTCGGCTCACTGCAGCCTCCGCCTTCCGGGTTCAAGTGATTCTCCTACCTCAGCCTCCGGAGTAGCTGGGATTACAGGCACATGCCACTACGCCCGGCTAATTTTTCTATTTTTAGTAGAGACAGGGTTTCACTGTGTTGGCCAGGCTGGTCTTGGAGAGCAGAGCCTCTCTGTGGAGATCAGGCCAGCCTCCCTGGCCTCCAGCCTATCCTGGGCTTGCTGTCTGGCATTTCAGGATGTGGGGAAGAGTCTTCCTCTGAGAGATAAGGCCTGTCCTGTGGGTTATAGCGAAGCGTGCCAATCCCAGCTGGCTGTGCCCGGCTGTCAGCTGCAGAGGCTAAGGCTGTTAAGGGCGCCACCTCTCCTGAAAACGCAGCGTGTCTCCTCCCATTCTGGGGTCCTGGGGATGGCCGGTGTGCTGGAGTCTGCAGGGTGCGGCTGGGTGGAGCTTTGTGATTCGGGCTGGGGGTGCCGTGCCCATCTGTCTTGAGCCAGGTGAGGCCAGGACGGGCCTGGGGGCGGCTCTCGAGGAAGCCTCGTGTGACAGGAGGGGATCCCTGGCTGCCGGGGCTGCACGTCACCTGTGTCTTCTGCGTGGTCTGCCCTGGGAGGGAGAGCCGGGGTGGAGGCTGCCATGGGCCCACTGTGCCGTCCCTCGGTGGGTGTTCCCAGGGGGGCGTGCGGGTGGGGGTGAAGCTGGCCCACTGTGCCATCTTTCAGGTGGGTGTTCCTGGGGCGGCGTGCAGGTGGGGGCAAAGCTGGCCTCTGAGGCGCTGGGTTGCCCTTGTCCGCCATCTTCCTCCCTCCCCCCTCCCACAGCTCTGCTCTACAAGCCCATTGACCGTGTCACCCGGAGCACCCTTGTCCTACACGTGAGTGTCAAGCCCCCGTGTGGCCAGAGAGCATAGGAGCTCATCAGGATACTGAGCCGGGTCAGAGGGTGCCAGAGTGTCTGAGAATGGCCCACGAGGGGAATCGGGGTTCCCGGGGCCCTCGGATGCCTGCCTGGCCCTCTGTCACCATGTCAGCAGGCCAGGGCCTCAGTATAGCTTGGCCGCTAAGCTGGACACTGGGTCAGGTGCTCCCCAGGAGGCAGGCACTTCCCCTTCCCCACCCGCTGCCTCCTGGTCCCCAGGAGACCACTGCAGGGTGGGCACAGGGGCTTCTCCCCCAGCTGCTCAGCAGGATGAGCCTCCACCTGGTGTCCCCACTAGTGACAGCAGCAGGGAGAAAGGGAGGCAGCCAGGGCCCTTGTCCCTCACCCTCACCCTTTACCCCTCACCCCTGCTGCGCTGGCTCTGATTTTTTTTTTTTTTTTTGAGACAGAATCTTGCTCTGTCACCCAGGCTGGAGTGCAGTGGTGCAATCTTGGCTCACTGCAACCTCTGCCTCCTGGGTTCAAGCGATTCTCCTGCCTCAGCCTCCCCAGTAGCTGGAATCACATGCGCCTACCACCACGCCTAGCTAGTTTTTGTATTTTTAGTAGAGACGGGGTTTCACCATGCTGGTCGGGCTGGCCTCAAACTCCCGACCTCAGGTGATCCACCTGTCTCGGCCTCCCAGAGCACTGGGATTACAAGTGTGAGCCACTGTGCCTGGCCTGCCTTTGATTTGTAGTTCAGATTTTGCAGGAATTCGGTGGGTCACTGAGTGCCCACCCTTTGAATTCTTTTGGTGAGGACTGAGGACCCCCGTGGCTTCCCCTCGAGCCCCTCAGCCCACGGCCCACCCTCCACAGGATCTGCTGAAGCACACGCCTGTGGACCACCCCGACTACCCGCTGCTGCAGGATGCCCTTCGAATCTCCCAGAACTTCCTGTCCAGCATCAACGAGGACATCGACCCCCGCCGGACTGCAGTCACCACCCCCAAGGGGGAGGTGAGCCCAGGCTGAGAAGTAGGGTGGGCCAGACCCCTCGTCCCCTTCTCTCATGCACAGGCGGTGCTGTGTGCCCCGGCCTCTCCAGCCTGTTCTCCATCCCCAGCCAAGGAGAGGCCTTCAGTCCTCGGTCACCCTGATGACCTGCAGCATCCCCAGGCCTAGGCCAAGAGCTTTAAATCCAGTGTCTCGTGAATCCTCACAATAACGGAGTGAGGCCGGGCGTGGTGGCTCACGCCTGTCATCCTAGCACTTTGGGAGTCCAGGCTGGGAGGATCACTTGAAGTCAGGAGTTCTCGAGACCAGCCTGGCCAACACAGTGAAGCCCCGTCTCTACTAAAAATACAAAAATCAGCCAGGCATGGTGGCAGGTGCCTGTAGTCCCAGCTACTCTGGAGGCTGAGGTGGGAGAATCACTTGAACACGGGAGGCAGAGAATTCAGTGACCCAAGATCACGCCACTGCACTCCAGTCTTGGTGACAGAGTGAGACTGTGTCTTAAAAAAAAAAAAAAAAAAATCCAGTGAGCCAGAAAGGACACTGAGGCTGGACAGTGTCCAGGTCTGCCACAGGTCTCTGAGCTGGATTGTTCACCTGGGCTGTCGGGACACCGGTGCGTTCTGCCCCACGCCGGGGAAGCTGGCCTCTGGCCTCCTGCCCCTTGAACGCGGACACCTGCCTCTGGCCAGTGTGGGCCTGTCGGGGTCCCGGGGAAGCTGAGGGGCAGGGGCTTGCAGCTGCTTCAGCTCGGCCTGCACAGGCAGCAGCCCGAGGAAGCCTGCAGCAGGAGAGGCTGCTGGGACGTCCAGCGGGCACCTGGATGGGGAGCTCCCGGGGGCCCTTCGCGGTGGAAGGGCCAGGGCAGCCCAGCGAGGGGAGAGCAAGGAAGCCTGAGGGGCACGGTTGCCTCGTGGGTCAGCAGCTGGACCCACACAAAACACCTTCTCAGGGGAGGTCATGAGGCGGCCCTGGGGAGCGAGGCTGACCGCGTTTCTGCTTCTCTGGTCTGTTTATGAGGCCCCGGGGTCTCCTGGGGGGAGAGTGGTGAGGGGCAGGCCTGGGCAGTGTCTGCTGGGCAGAGAGAGCCGATTCTGAGTGGTTCCCGGTGCTGGCATGCAGCGTCCGGGGAGACCCTCGTCTGTTTCACTCCGGGGCATCTGAAAAATCTCCAGGGCTTTGCGTACCCTCAGCTTTCGCTCGTCTGTTTTTTGGTTTTCTGAGACTGAGTCTCGCTCTGTGGCCCGGGTTGGAGGGCCATGGTGCGGTCTCAGCTCACGGCAGCCTCCGCATTCTGTGTTCCAGCAGTTCTGTGTCAGCCTCCTGAGTAGCTGGGATCACAGGTGCCCACCACCACGCCCAGCTAATTTTTGTATTTTAGTAGAGATGGGGTTTCACTCTGTTGGCCAGGCTGGTCCTGAACTCCTAGCCTCAAGTAATCCACCCACCTCAGCCTCCCTAAGTGCTGGGATAACAGGTGTGAGCCACTGCGCCTGGCCTCAGGCAACTTACTTATATGTTTTCAATGCACTCACCTGCATATCACAGCAGGTGTAGGTGATACCCCGTATCACACACACAGGAAAGGCTGGGATGGATGGTGACGGCCCCCAGCTCTGAGCAGGTGGGAGGGAACTCTGAGGGAACCAGAGCCAGGTGAGAGGCGGCTGCAGGTCCCCTCTGGACACTGTTGCAGCCCCAGGGAGGACGGCCCAGGTCTCCCATCCCCGGGGGCTGGAGAAACCACGGAGAAGCCTGAGCAGGTCTCGGGTCACAGTGGATCCGGGACTAGATGAAGTTCGTGGCTTGGTTGGGAGGGGTTGCAGGTGGGCGTGTTAGTGCCCTGGAGGGGAGGAACCAGGTCGTCCTGGGCAGGGGCGCCGGGGGTGGCATGGAGAGCCCCCTTACTGCGCACACTTGCTGTGCTGTTTTCCATGCACCACCTCTGTGAGTCACCTTTGGGGAGACATCATCGTGCCCACTGGACAGAAGGTAAATCTGAGATTCAGAGAGGTCAGGGAGCCCAGGGAGATCCCAGCTGAGAAACCTGCCTGGATCCAAGCCCACGTCCGCGGGACTCCAGAGGCAGTGCTTTCACCACCTTTGTTACGGGGTTGCAGGCCACACCGCCCCCCGGTTCAGCCCTCCCTGGCTGCCTGTGCCCTCAAGTGCAGACTCAGCCCCTGGCCCACTCCCCTCTGAGCAGCTGGGGGTCTGCCCTCTCCCTCAGACGCGGCAGCTGGTGAAGGATGGCTTCCTGGTGGAAGTGTCAGAGAGCTCCCGGAAGCTGCGGCACGTGTTCCTCTTCACGGATGTCCTACTGTGTGCCAAGCTGAAGAAGACCTCTGCAGGGTGAGTGTGCAGGAGTCCAGGGGCACGGGGCAGAGTTAGCGGGCCAGACACTGCCCCCTGATGCACCCTTCAGCGACCTTGTGGGTTTCTTTTTCTTTTGAGACAGGGTCTTGCTCTGTTGCCCAGGCTGGAGTGCAGTGGCGCTATCTCGGCTCACTGCAACCTCTGCCTCCTGAGTCCAAGCGATTCTCCTGTCTCTGTCTCCGGAGTAGCTGGGGTTATAGGTGCCCACCACCACACCCAGCTAATATTTGTATTTTTAGTAGAGATGGGGTTTCACCATGTTGGGCAGGCTGGTCTCGATCTCTTGACCTCAGGTGATCCTCCTGCATGAGCCATTGCACCCAGCCAGCTTTTTCTTTTTTTTTTTTTTTTCTTGAGATGAAGTCTCACTCTGTCGCCCATGCTGGAGCGCAGTGGTGCAATCTCAGCTCACCACGACCTCCGCTTCCCAGGTCGAAGCAATTCTCCTGCCTCAGCTTCCCAAGTAGCTGGGACCACAGGCACGTGCCACTATGCCCGGCTAATTTTTTGTACTTTTAGTAGAGGCGGGTTTCACAGTGTTACCAGGATGGTCTCGATCTCCCGACCTCGTGATCCACCTGCCTCGGCCTCCCAAGGTGTTGGAATTACAGGCGTGAGCCACTGCACCTGGCTGCTTTTTGCTTTTTTAAAGAAATCCATGGACCAGGTGAAGTGGCTCATGCCTCTAATCCCAGCATTTTGGGAGGCCGAGGCGGGCAGATCACAAGGTCAAGAGATCGAGAGCATCCTGGCTAATGCAGTGAAACCCTATCTCTACTAAAAATACAAAAATTAGCTGGGCGTTATGGCGTACACCTGTGGTCCCAGCTACTCGGGAGGCTGGGGCAGGAGAACTGCTTGAACCTGGGAGGTGGAGGTTGCAGTGAACCGAGATCGCGCCACTGCACTCCAGCCTGGCACCTGGCGACAGAGCGAGACTCTGTCTCAAAAAAAAATGTATGAATTAATTTAATCTCACTACGTAGCCCTTTATTTCCTGAAAATAAGCCATGTTTTTAATTATAACGATAATATAAGGACATTAGAGGAAACGCCGTCTCCACTGAAGCATAAGTGTCAGTCTCCCGCCGAGACGCTTCCTTCCCTGTGTTTAAATGTTCTCCTGTTCCTGTGCAGCCGTCATCAGAGCGAATGCCCAGCGGGGGGCTCTGCCGCTCTGTTTTGCGTTTTCCCTGTTGCTCCCTTGTCCTCATCGTCATCATCTTACTTCCCTCACGACGTTAGTGGCGGATGTGCCGTTTACTTAAACCTTCTTCTATTAGACCTCTCCAAGTTCTTGCTGGCTGCAGCACTGTGAATATTCATCCCAGCTCCTGCTACTATTATTGAGGGTTTAGGCCATGCCAGCTGCCGTGACAGATGCTTTGAATGCATTATTTCTAGTCCTCCCAGCAACTCCACTAAGTAGTGACTGTTGCTCCCTTGTCACGGGTGAGAGAGAAGCGTCAGAGAAGGTAGATGAGCTGCTCGTGGTTGCCCAGCTGGAGGCACAGGTGGGATCGGAGTCCCACGGAATGTGAAAGCTGCCTGGTGCCTCCCTCTCTGTACCTGGGAACGTGGGTCTGCGCTGTGCCCTGAGCAGAGAGGCTCATTCAGTTCCACTCACACACTCTTCCACCCACATTTCCTGATCACCTTCAGTGTGCCAAGCACACCCCTTCTCACCGCTGAGAAGCAGCAGTCCGCATCCAAACCCAGGTCTGTGTGACTCCAAAGCCAGTGTGCTCACCACCAGGCTATCTTTCCTCTGCTTTCAGCCCCCCGGCTGGCTGTGCCCCTGAGTACTGCACAGGGGCAGCAAGCTATGAGCCCACCACAGCACTCAAGGGTCAGAATGAGAAGTGCAAATCTAAGTCCTAGGGGAAGGATCGATCATTATGAACTTCAGTAAAGGGCAAGGCTGGTCAGGCGCGGTGGCTCACACCTATAATCCCAGCACTTTGGGAGGCCGAGGTGGGTGGGTCACCTGAGGTCAGGAGTTTGAGACCAGCCTGGCCAACATGGTGAAACCCTGTCTCTACTGAAATTACAAAAATTAGCTGGGCATGGTGGCGTGCACCTGTAATCCCAGCTACTCATGGAGCTGAGCCAGGAGAATCGCTTGAACCCTGGAGGTGGAGGTTGCAGTGAGTGGAGATCACGCCATTGCATTCCAGCCTGAACAATGAGCAAAACTCCATCTCACAAAATAATAATAATAAAGGGTCTGACTCTCTGAACTAGGTCATATTTGAGATGATCCTAAGGCAGGGATGGTGATGATAATCACACACGCCTCTGCCTGTCATCCTTTGCCATGGCAGACATTACTAATCAATCAACGATGGCAGACATTACTAATCTGGGCACGCCTTCTTGCTCGACTTGGATGTGGCTTGTAATCCTTCATCCAGTGTAGACCCATGTGACCTCCCATGATGAGAGTTGGCATTCAGAATAACACCTGTATTCCAGTGCTAGCCTGAAGGATAATGAACGTGGATAGTCTAGAAGGGAGGGAGGGTGTGGGATGGAGTAGGAAGCTGTGAACCTGGCCGAGGGGGCTTTGCTCTTCTTGATACCCCAGTGATCTGGGGCGTTTGACAGCATGAGTCATCTGGGCCAGCAGCCTGGGAAGGTGGGCGGGCACAGTGGCTCCCTGCGGGAGGGCAGGCGCCGGACCTGGCTCTCGGCACTGCATATGCGTTTCCCAGCCAGGCTCCTCGGGAGCAGGGGTTGTTCTTGCTTCTGGCGAGTTCCCAGTCCATCCTCGTCAGTGTGTGTGTGTGTGTGTGTGTGTGGTTCCGGACCCAGGACTTCGGCTGGAAGAGCCTTCCCGCTCTGGCTCACGTCTCCCTCCGGCTCGCTTGCAGGAAGCACCAGCAGTATGACTGCAAGTGGTACATCCCCCTGGCCGACCTGGTGTTTCCGTCCCCCGAGGAGTCTGAGGCCAGCCCCCAGGTGCAGCCCTTCCCAGACCATGAGCTGGAGGACATGAAGATGAAGATCTCCACCCTCAAGAGTGAAATCCAGAAGGAGGTGAGCAGCGCTTGGCCTCCGAGCCAGGGACGCTTTGAGGCAGGCATGCCGGGGGAAGTGGAGGCGGGAAGTTGTCAGCTTTGAGAGTTTGAGAGGGAGCCCTTGAGTGTGTACTTACCAAGGGAAAGGTCCTGAGTGCAGTAGCTCCAAGCAGATCGAGGGGGTCAGTGCTCAGGGTTTCATGGGGCTGATTGTGGAAGGTGTCCTGGAAAGCAGCGCAGGTTGAACACGACAGAAAGGGGAAGCAAGCGGCCGAGCGCAGTGCCTCCTGCCTGTGATCCCAGCACTTTGGGAGGCTGAGGTGGGTGGATTACCTGAGACCAGAAGTTTGAGACCCGCCTGACCAACATGGCAAAACCCTGTCTCCTAAAGTACAAAACTAAGCCGGGCGTAGTGGCATGCACCTGTAATCCCAGCTACCCTGGAGGCTGAGGCAGGGGAATTGCTTGAACCTCGGAGGCAGAGGTTGCAGTGAGCCGAGATTGTGCCATTATGCTCCAGTCTGGGCAACACAGTGAGACTCTGTCTTAGAAAAAAGTTGGGGAGGGAGAAGCAAGGGAAGAAAAAGCAGCTTTTGTAAGGAAAAGCAGGACCTGTACAAGGAAGAGGACCTGGGAGGCCTCTCAGAAACAGACAGATCAAGTAGGCAAATAAGGAGAGAGAGACCCTGAATGCCACAATTAACATGCTTGACCTAAAAATGCAAGGAGGCTTGTGCCCTGACAGAAAACTGATTCTTGTCACACACGTGTGGAACATTCACATTTATCCTATAATAGGCCACCAAAGAAATCCCAAAAGTTTTCAAAAAGTTGATAGTGTGCGAGTCACGTTCACAGACAAAGTGGAGTAAAATTAGAAACGGACAAGGACATTGGTTAGTCCCAGCGTGGCAGCTCACACCTGTCATCCTCACACTTTCGGAGGCCGAGGGGGGCAGATCACCTGAGATCAAGAGTTTGAGACCAGCCTGGCCAACATGGTGAAACCCCATCTCTACTAAAAGTCTAAAAATTAGCTGGGCATGGTAGCAGGCGCCTGTAATCCCAGCTACTCAGGAGACTGAGACAGGAGAATTACTTGAACCCGGGAAGCAGAGGCCATGGTAAGCTGAGGTTGTGCTGGTGCACTCCAGAGCCTGGACAACAAAGTGAGACTGTGTCTCAAAAAACAAAAAGAGAATATTGATTAGCCATATGTTTGGAAAGTTCAGACTGACAAGGTAATGAGGAAATCAAAATGGGAACTGCAAACTGTTTAGACCTGCCTGAGAATGAGCGTCCTACATACCAGTACCCCTGGTTGCAGCCAAAGTGCTGTTGAGAGGAAAATGCATAGCCTTCGATTCCTGTATTCAGAAACAGTGCTATAGGAAGGCACCACCAGAGGACCCTTCCCAGGGCACTGAAGGGACAGCCTGGAGTGGCTTGGTCATCTTGGTCTCTTTCTCACCTCTCAGGTTCAGCTTAGGTTTCACCTCCTTGGAAGCTTTTCTGACACCCACCCCCACCACAGCATGGGCTGGGTGCTCTGTCCACAGATCCTGATGTTCACCTGTGGCTTTGCTTTGATGCTGCTGAATTCTAGTTGCATCGTCAGCCTCGTCTCTTCCCCACTAGAATTTGAACTGCAGTGAGAGGGGTATTTTCTTCTATGTTCCTAATACTTGACACATAAAAAATAGGTACTAAGGGCCCAGCACTGTGGCTGACACCTGTAATCCTATCACTTTGGGAGGTGAAGGCGGGTGGATCACGAGGTCAGGAGGTCAACACCAGCCTGACCAACATGGTGAAGCCCTGTCTCTACTAAAAATACAAAAATTAGCCGGGCCTGGTGGCGCACGCACGCACGCACGCCTGTAATCCCATCTACTAAGGAGGCTGAGGCAGGAGAATTGCTTAAAACCCAGGACGCAGAGGTTGCAGTGAGCCAAGATGGCACCATTGCACCCTAGCCTGGGCAACTGAGTGAGTGAGACTCCACCTGAAAAAAAAAGGAAAAAAAAGGTACTCAGTAAATGGTTATTGAAGAAAACGTGACCAGATGGTCTCTGTAAGGGTTCTTTTGACCCAAGGGCCTCTCTTTGAACTGGGAAAAGGAAGATCCCTGTTACAGCCCCGGGGCGTTCAGGGCAGGGGGATGTCCTAGGGCAGAGCGTCTAATTGGGGGGCATCTGCCTGAGGGAGCTCCCTCACCAGCATAGCTGTCCCCTCCCGCATGGCCAGGAGTCTCTGCCCAGGAGCATCCAGCGTGCCTGTCTCTTGCCCCGGGGGGTCAGTAGGCTTCCTGCCCTCCCGCTGCCCCCGCTGTGCAGACGTGGCCTCCGACTCAGTCAGTGTCACTGAGCTCTCTGGCTCTGTGGCCTGGGGTGTGCCGGGTGCCATCTGCACTCCCTGGCCAGTGGAGGAAGCAGACACGCCCCTTGCTGACCACAGAGCAAGGCACGTGTGGTGACTCACTGGAGAGGCCCTGGTGTCACCCTCTGAGTCACAGAAGGAGCAGTGATTTGTTCTTCTAATAAGAATGTTTAAAACTCTAATGTTTTTCTAATCCCCAGTGTAATACTGGCTTGTTATAATGAGAAATGCTCACAGCACCAGCATGTACAGGTGGTCGCCACCCACCTCCCATCGCTGACAGTTTGAGGTGTAGTCTTCTAAATTCTACGTATACTGGTGTATCCGTGTGTGCATGTGTGTGGGTGTGTGCGTGTGCATACATGTGCATGAGAATGGGTGTACTGGTCACCCAGGCTGGAGTGCAGTGGTGCAATCTTAGCTCAGTGTGCATGTGTCTGCGTGTGGGTGTGTGTGTGTGTGCATACGTGTGTGTACGTGTGCATGCAAGTTTGTGTGCACGAGAGTGGGTGGGTGTGTGTGTGCATGTGTGGGTGTGTGCATGCAAGTGTGCGAGTGCATGCCTGAGTGCGTGTGCATGCATGTGCGGGTGGGTGTGTACGAGTGTGCCTGTGGGTGGGTGGGTGTGCGTGAGTGTGCATGTGTGCACAAGAGTGCGTGTGCATGCATGTGTGGGTGCGTATACGAGTATGCGTGGGTGTGTGCATGAGAGTGTGAGTGGATGTGGGTGGGTGGATGTGTGCTGAGTGTGTGCATGGGTGTGTGAAAGTGCATACACGTGTATGTGCATGTGTTTGTGCAGGTGTGTGTGCACGGGTATGCATGGATGTGCACACAAGTGTGCGTGTGTGGATGTGCGCACGAGCACATGTGTTTGGGTGTGTGTGAGTGGGTGTGTGCGCATGAGTGTGCCTGCATGTGGGTGGGTGGGTGTGCACACGTGTATGCATGTGCCTGGGTGTGTGCACATGTGAGCATGTGTGGGCACGTGTGTGTACAGTGAGACTAGACTACACGTGCTGATCTGCAGCGTGAACATTTCATGTCATAGTGCATCTTTGAGCCCTTTGGATGCATCAGATTCTTTTTTTGTTTTGTTTTGTTTTTTTGAGATGGAGTCTTGCCCTGTCACCCAGGCTGGAGTGCAGTGGTGCAATCTTAGCTCAGTGCAACTTCCACCACCCAGATTCAAGCTATTCTCCTGCCTCAGCCTCCAGAGTAGCTAGGATTACAGCACATGCCACCCCGCCCAGCTAATTTTTGTATTTTTAATAGAAACGGGGTTTTGCCATGTTGGCCAGGCTGGTCTCAAACTCCTGACCTCAGGTGATCTACCCACCTTGGCCTCCCAAAGTGCTGGGATTACAGGTGTGAGCCACCACGCCTGGCAATTTCAGATGCATTTTTTTTTTTTTTTTTTTGAGATGCAGTGTCATCAGGCTGAAGTGCAGTGGTGTGATCTCGATTCACCTCCACCTCCCGGATTCAAGCGATTCTCCTGCCTCAGTCTCCTGAGTAGCTGGGACTACAAGCACGTGCCACCACACCCGGCTAATTTTTATATTTTTAGTAGAGACGGGGTTTCTCCGTGTTGGCCAGGATGGTCTCAATCTCTTGACCTCGTGATCCGCCCGCCTCAGCCTCCCACTGCTGGGATCACAGGCGTGAGCCACCGCACCTGGCCCCTCAGATCCTTTTTAACAGCTGAATCCTGCCCTGCTGCTTGACTGCACACAACATTTTTGGGTATTTAGATTGTTTCTGATCCTTCGCTCTCAGCAGGCAGGTCCACGCAAACATCACTGCGCACGTGCGTCTCTGCAGTAGCTTCCCTCCAGGGGGACGGTCGGGTGGAGTGAGTGTGGAGTTGCCCGGCTTACCTCTGAAAAAGTTGTGTCTGGTGACATTCCCCCTGCGGTGAGCGAGACTCACTGTCCCCCACAGTGTCACAACACCGGCTGTGAACATTCATTACAGTTTTGCCAGTCCAGTGAGTTAAAAAAAAAAGGAAAAACACTACAGAGATGAATTCTGGCTAAGGAGCTTGAAGACGGCCTTGGGAGCTGAGACTTGAAGCATAGTTGTGGTTAATAAAAGGGAGGGAATCCTTCATGAAACAGACAGAAACTTGGAACATTGAGCAGGTGGCCTCTGCCAGCCATGGCTGGTTAGGGAGGGAGGCTGAGCCCAGGAAGCGGGGTGGGTTATCTGCTGGGCAGGGAGGCTGGAACCCTGCCATGGGGTCTGGGTGCCAGGCCAGCAGGCGGGGCTTTATGTGGAAAGGCATCTGAGGTTTATTAAAGCAGGCGTCTCTGTTGTACCCAGGGTTTAACATATGGAGGCAACAGAGTGACAGCACAGAGCTACCATCATATTCATATTGTTCAGGGCTCCCCAGAGAAGGAGGCGTAGGGCCCCGCCCAGGGCCACACAGGGAGGCGCCGGCGTTGAACCGGAGGTGGGAGTGGAAGGAAGGTGTGGCCACAGCTTTCCTGTGTTTTCTGTGGAGAAGCAGGGGAGGGCAGGGCAGGGAAAGGCTTGGCACTGGCTGGCTTCAGTAATGTTGGCAGCCCTGGGCTGGAGGGGTGGAGGGCTGGTCTCTAGTGACCTGGGTCCTGGCCCTGCGTGGTATGGGGCAGAGGAGATGCTGGTTTGGTGAGTGGGGGTCAGTAGGGAAGGTGCTTGGGATGCGGGCTCTGATCAGTTGTGCGTATGAAAGGCGCTCACAGGGCGTCATTTAGTGTCAGGAACCAGCGAGCCCTGGATGGAGCTGTTTCTCACCCAGGTACCCCCGTTCCTGCCCCAAGGTGTCAAAACATCACGAAATACAGAAAATTTAAAGAGCATGGCCGGGCAGGTGGCTGACGCCTGTCATCCCAGCACTTTGGGAGGCCGAGGCAGGTGGATCACAAAGTCAGGAGAGCGAGACCAGCCTGGCCACGGTGAAACCCCGTCTCTACTAAAATGCAAAAAATGAGCTGGGCGTGGTGGCGCGTGCCTGTAGTCCCAGCTACTCGGGAGGCTGAGGCAGGAGAATTGCTTGAACCTGGGAGGTGGAGTACGCAGTGAGCCGAGATCGCGCCATTGCACTCACTGCACTCCAACCTGGGCGACACAGTGAGACTCTGTCTGAAAAAAAAAAAGCCATGATTAACACGGGAAAGTTGTGCTGAGCAGGGCCTGTGAGAAGGGGTGCCCGAGTGTGAGCGACCCTCCTTGTCCCCGTCTCCTGCAGAAAGCCAACAAAGGCCAGAGCCGGGCCATCGAGCGCCTAAAGAAGAAGATGTTTGAGAACGAATTCCTGCTGCTGCTCAACTCCCCCACAATCCCCTTCAGGATCCACAATCGCAACGGAAAGGTCAGGAGGGTGGGGTGGGACAGGACACCCCTGCTTAGTCCTGCACTGCCTGCCCTATGGCTCCTGGCCCTGACCTGCAGGAACCAGAGCTCAGGCCCCCTCTTCCTAAGGAGGCTGCCATGGCTCCGGCAGTTGACTCACGCTCCCCACTCGTGTGGAGTTAGTGCCCTCTGCTGGTCTTTCCTGGCACGGTGCTCCTGTCACCTTGGCTTCCCAGGAAGGAGCTGCCCCTCCACCCATCCACCCCTGGCTACCTCCTCCAAGGTCAGCAGTGCCTGATAAGGAGGAGCTTTGGGCCGGCACAGTGGCTCAGGCCTGTAATCTAAGCACTTTGGGAGGATGAGGCGGGCAGATCACCTGAAGTCAGGAGTTTGAGAGCAACCTGGTCAACATGGTGAAACCCCATCTCTACTAAAAATACAAAAATTAGCTGGGCATGGTGGCAGGTGCCTGTAGTCCCAGCTACTCTGGAGGCTGAGGCAGGAGAATCGCTTGCACCCAGAAGGCAGAGGTTACAGTGAGCCAAGATTGCGCCATTGCACTCCAGCCTGGGCAACAAGAACGAAAGTCTATCTCAAAAAAAAAAAAAAAAAAAATTATAAAAAGAAGGAGCCCTGTTGGGGTCCTTGTATCTGGGAGGGTGCTTGGAGCCCTGTTGGGGTCCTTGTATCTGGGAGGGTGCTTGGAGCCCTGTTGGGGTCCCCGTGTCTGGGAGGGTGCCTGGATCCCTGTCATGTCCCCGTATCTGGGAGGGTGCTTGGAGCCCTGTCGGGGTCCCCGTATCTGGGAGGGTGCTTGGAGCCCTGTCATGTCCCCGTATCTGGGAGGGTGCTTGGAGCCCTGTCGGGGTCCCCGTATCTGGGAGGGTGCTTGGAGCCCTGTCATGTCCCCGTATCTGGGAGGGTGCTTGGAGCCCTGTCGGGGTCCCCGTATCTGGGAGGGTGCTTGGAGCCCTGTCAGGGTCCCGTGTCCGGGAGGGTGCTTGGAGCCCTGTCGGGGTCCCGTGTCTGGGAGGGTGCTTCGAGCCCTGTCGGGGTCCCGTGTCTGGGAGGGTGCTTAGAGCCCTGGCAGGGTCCCCGTGTCTGGGAGGGTGCTTGGAGCCCTGTCGGGGTCCCGTATCCGGGAGGGTGCTTGGCCCGACTGTGGCCACCACGGCATTGTCACCTCCTCTCTTCAGAGTTACCTGTTCCTGCTGTCATCGGACTACGAGAGGTCGGAGTGGAGAGAAGCGATTCAGAAACTGCAGAAGAAGGGTAAAGGCCGGCCCCCCACACTCCCCAGCAGCGTCCGGGGCACTGATGGGCCTTGTGTGTTTCTGAGCATTTCGTACCCAGTGTCTCCTCTGTGGCCCTCACAGTCACCCTTGAAGGTGCCAGGGAGGTGGCATTGAAGGATGTTACAGATTAATTGAGATCCAAAGAATTTTAAGTGATTTGCTTAAAAAAATGAGTTAGTGCTGAGACTGGACTCAGAGCCCACCCTGTGCGCTCTCTCTCTCTCCCCCCTACTCTTTTTCTCTGTGTCTTTCTCTCTCACTGTCTCACGCACGCACACACACGCACGCGCGCGCACACACACACGCCAGGTGCAGTGGCTCATGCCTGTAATCTCAGCATTGCAGGTGGATCACCTGAGGTCAGGAGTTTGAGACCAGCCTGGCCAACATGGTGAAACCCTGTCTCTACTAAAAATACAAACATTAGCTGGGCGTGGTGGCAGGAGCCTATAGTCCCAGCTACTCAGGAGTCTGAAGCAGGAGAATCCCTTGAACCTGGGAGGTGGAGGTTGCAGTGAGCTGAGATCACGCCACTGCACTCCAGCCTGGGTGACAAAACAAGACTCCGTCTCAAAAAAGCAAACACACATACATGCAAACCTCTTCAGTTAGAGTCTCCTGCCCTAACCCCTCTGACAGCACTTATACCAGCCCCCACATGCCCACAAGTCCTCCCCCTCCCTCCCAGGGACCAACTCTGCCCCAGGGATTATGCTGTTTTCCTGCAGCAGCCCCAGGGAAGAGCAGCAGGTCCTAGTGGACCACTGCCGACACTCCCTTCTCCCTCGGCTCTCCCTTCAGATCTCCAGGCCTTTGTCCTGAGCTCAGTGGAGCTCCAGGTGCTCACGGGATCCTGTTTCAAGCTTAGGACTGTACACAACATTCCTGTCACCAGCAATAAAGATGGTAAGTTCTGGAGCCTGAGGCTCCCCACCGGCAGGTCCCAGCCCCTGGAGCGTTGCCGGCTTCCCCTAAGGACCCAGGTAGACACGTGGCTGTGAATGATCCCTGCTCAGCTGTGCTGAGACTGTCCAGTGGTCAGGGACACAGAGAGCTTGGATGAGGCGACTGCCCACTGAGTTCCGGGTGACCCCACCTTTTCCTCGGGCCCCTCATCTGGCGTGAGAGAAGAGCTGGCCCTGGTGTGCTGAGATTGTGCTGTTAGTATGTTCGTGAGATAGGGAGCCGGTAGATAAAACAGCATATGGGAAGGAAGGCAGGAAGTTTCCGGCACCAGCTCTTGAAAGGTCTCCAACGCCAAGCAAGGAAGTTTTGGAGTTCAGACTGTAAGCGCAGGAGCACGTGGGGGTTTCTGAGCAGAGGAGGGCAGCAGTCAGCGCTGGAGCTGAGCCGGAGTGCTGGATTCTAGCTGCCTGCGGTGCTGGGGATGGGCCGCTTTGTGAGCGGGGTTCTGAAGGGAAGCTTTCCTCCACCTAGGAGGGGCATCCAGGGATCCCAGGCAGGGGCATGGCTGGGCCCTCTCTTTTCCACTAGCAGATTGATTGATCGTATGGCTGTTTTCGCCGCCAGGGTAGGCAGGATTCGGAGGGAGGAGCGGCACCCGTGGGGGATACTTCTGAGTCCTGGGTGGGGATGGCTGAGCCAGGAGTCCTCCCGGGGCAGCTCACGTCCCAGAAAGCCGTGGGCTTCGGAAACGTTTCCCTCCGGCCACCAGGTGGCGACATTGGACCGAGACACAGGCTGAGCCTCCCGCCAGCCTGGGCGGAGGGAGCCGCTGACCACCGCCACCCTGGTGGCCTTTCTCTCTTGCAGACGATGAGTCTCCGGGACTCTACGGCTTCCTTCACGTCATCGTCCACTCCGCCAAGGGATTCAAGCAATCAGCCAGTAAGTGCCCTGGCCCCCACCCAGGATGCAGTTGGGCGGGCCACTGCGGGTCCTGCTGTGCTCTGTTCTGCCCAGGCCGGGGGCCGCCAGCTCGTCTTTAGACATGGGGCATTCCCCAGAAGGCCAGAAGCCAGCTCCTCTCAGGGGGGAGGTCACCCCTGCCCTCTGTCTTCAACGCCCTCTTTCTCAAGCCCCCCCAACCCCAACGCTGTCTGAAACCCTAGAGCGACAAACATGTGGACCCCAATTCACATCGGCCCTTGATAGGCTGTGGGACCTTTGGCAAGTTTCTTAACCTCTCTGGGCCTCCACGAAAAGGCAGTCACGCTTGTGAGTTGTGACCTGAGAGCCGGCTGAGATACGATCGCATTTGTGTGACGCTGATGCCCGGCCATGCTTACCCCTTTTTCTACCCTTCTCTGTGGTCTACTAGATCTGTAGATTCGTCATCCTAAATCTGTTTTTATGTTTCATAAAATAGAAGTGTAGTTTTTTTTAATTAAAAAAAAATTTTTTTTAAAGACGAAGTTTCGCCATGTTGGTCAGGCTGGTCGTGAACTCCCGACCTCAGGTGATCCACCCGCCTCGGCCTCCCAGAGTGCTGGGATTACAGGCGTGAGCCACCGCGCCCAGCCTGAGTGTAGTTTTTTTTTAAAAAGAAAAACGTTTTTTGTAGAGACAGGTTCTTACCCCATGTTCCCCAGGCTGGTCTTGAACTCCTGGGCTCAAGCGATCCACCCACCTCAGCCTCCCAAAGGGCTGAGATCACAGGCATGAGCTCTGATGCCCAGCCTGGTGGCGCTTTTTATCACTCACTTTTTCTCGCGCTGTTTTGTCACTCACAACGTGCTGCTCCCACTGTGAGTTCTCTGAGGCCGGGAACCAGGCTTCCTTTACCCTGGGATGAACAGGACTCAGAGACACTGAGTGAAGTTGCCAATTTGCGGAGCCCCTGCCGTGCACTGGGGAAAGCGAGAGCATGGCTGGCCGGTGTGGGCTGTGTGTGGGCTGCGTGTGGGCTGCGTGTGGGCCGGCGTGGGCTGTGTGTGGGCCAGCATGTAGGTCGGCGTGGGCTGTGTGTGGGCTGTGTGTGGGCCGGCGTGGGCTGTGTGTGGGC